TTTTTTTTTTTTTTTTTTTTTTTTTTTTTTTTTGTAATACTATGCGTTGTCCTACGTATATTCGTCCGCTTTTTCCGCTCTTGACAGTTGTAATTTAGCATTAGGGTGACAGAAGTGTGCCACTGCCTAGAATGAGTGCCTTCTTTTCTTAAGATTATTTTTTTCAGAAGTAATGGTTATATTAATTTACATGTTTTCCTTACTCGCTTCGATTTTGATAACAGCGGTAATTTTTATTTCTTACATCTGTCTGATTGTGACTAGTTTAGTGGAATATCGCGCCATCACCAGGGTTCCACTGGAAATGCCACGCAGCTACCAGTCGTGGTAAAGCAAAGTAGTGGTACAATTTCTAGACGAATTGATGCGCTTGAGACATCAGTGTCACTATTCAACGAGGCATCTACTATATCAACATCGGGTGGACACTGTAATCAGATGCCTCCTGCACAGGGCATGCAAGGTTATTTGTCTTTTTTTTTTCTTTCTTTTTTAGCTTTAGCTCTCCTGACGTTGAATGTAGATGAATCTCGAGCAAATTGTTTTGGAATAAATGAAGGTTGTTATTTACCTTACTACAGTTAAATAATATATTGAAGAATTTCGCTTCCAGGTGTTTATGTGTCCAACTTGCCATCAGCTTCAAAAAATGAGTCTGTTTTAAAAGATTCACTTACGGGTTTATTTAAAAAATTTGGTAAAATTATACATATCACTTTCGAAACTGACGCGTCATCCGATGAACGGAAGGCTCTAATAATTTTCCAAAGGTGCTTTTACTCTTGCTTTTTGATAGACCTTGTTCAAGCTCTGTTGACAGTAGCTTTATCCACGCATAATTTAAATATACTACCTTTAAAATAGGTTGAAATTTTCTCAATTGGAAGGGTTCAAAAAACTCGAAAATTTTTTACAGTTTTTGCTTTTTTTATCGCTCTCGTCTTTCTGCAAGTTATTTGGTTGCATAGTTGTTTTTTGCAGACATCAAGTTCTAGTAATGCAGTTTTTTTTAGGTTAAATGACACTGAAAAGCTGATTAGTGACGTGCATAGTTTATGTGGAGTTCGTCTGAAATTGAAGTTAGCTAGTCATGTGGCAGTTGCTGAAGCTTACAACCACTTTTTAGTTTTAACAAGTGCACAAGCCAGTGGAATATTGCCATCTAGCATAAGTGTACTACATGACAATTCTGCATATGCTAGAACTGCGCATAAGGTAGCATATACAAATATTTTGTTTATTGAGTTTTTATTATTGTTACAAATGATTTTTTATTTTGATTTAAATTCATTTCGCTTTTACTTTTTTCATAATTTACTTCTGAACTGTGGTTTAGTATAACTGAAGCTTTGGTTAACGAATTGTATGTAAATGGAAATTGTAGAACTTCAATCATCAGGCGACTCACTTTGACTTTTTTACATGTAGTTTTTTTTCAGGAATTGCCTCAGGAGTGTGTTCTTCCTTTGAGATCTGGCAGCATAGTTGACGCCTTAGCTCCTCAAGCATCGAGAACTCTTTATGTTGGTGGTTTAGAAAGAAGAACTAGCGAAGAGTGGTTGATGTCCCGGTATTCGCAGTTTGGCCAAATTCTGGACATCGGTATTAAATTTCTTTTTGAAACTAATTTCCGGTTTTTTTCACTCTTATAAAATCAGAAAAGTATTCAAGTTCTGCGCGTCCGAATCTGAATTGTTATTTGATTAGTCGTTGTACAAAACGGTTTATAACTATATATTATCTTAACAAATTCTTATTGTGCAGAACATCATAAAGAAGGCAATCAGAGTAAGTTTGCAAGCATGTTTAACGTGTTTACCATACTTATGAATATTGGTTGTTAGGCTTTTTATAATCTTCCTGCTTGTTCTGACATCACTCATGTTTTTGTGTTGATTTACACAGTTTTGTGGTTGTTTGCTGCCGTTTTCAAAATAATTATTTACCAACAGTTCATTTGGGCTTAAGTTATTCTTGTCGTTAATTATCGTTGTGTTTATGATCCTATCACATTTTCTGAGGCTTGTTTCAAAGATTAGTCTACATCTTTCTTCATCAACCGAGGAATTAACGGAATTTTGTGGAACAGCATCTAGTGAACAATTACAATTTATCTGTTAGTCACCAAAGGAGTTCATTTTTATCCAGTGTTATATGCGCTACATTATTGATGACAGTATTTATTCGTATTCACTTGATCTTTACGCAGTAAAATGTTTAGTTAAAAGTTAGTCTTTCAGAGGTAAAAAATTGGGATAGCCCTTCTCCTTTTGCCTTTATTCAATTTGCTGACATTCAATCTGTGGTTCGAGCGATTAATGCTTCAGATGGTTCCTTAATAGCTCACGGTCAAGGCGCTCGGAAGCCACTTAAGGCATCATTGATTTTTTTTATTATTTCTATTGATATTTCAATTCTTTACGTTGAATCTTCAAATCATATTGTGAAACTTAGTTTTGCTGAAACTTATATCGGGCCAGTGTTTAGACGAACTGGGGCCATTCCATAGTAACCAATAAGATTTGGATAGGAGAATTACCTTCTGGTTGTACATCTGATTATCTTCGGGACAAAATCCGGTTACAGTTTACTGATAGCCTAACCGATATCCTGTATGATGTGAAGTATAGCGAAGCAGTTTTGATATTCTCTAATAATGAAAGCTCACAGCGGCTGCTAAATATGATCAAGACTAAAAAACTGTAAGTTGTTGACACGGTTTAAAAAATGATTTACTACTTTTTATTACGTATTTCCTGAAAGATTTCTTAAGGCTTTTCTGGGATGTTGACCAAAAACGTGATGTACAGTTGCCAGCGGATTACTGTTCAGAAAAACTATACAATTATTTTGTTGAGAGGAAATTCAAAACGGAAAAGGAATGTGTAAACCTTGGTACTTTTTCACTTTCGTTTTGTTTGTAATCTTAAATTTATTTTTTTTCAAATTTCTAAAAAATCCTACTAGTATTTGATTTTTTTTCTTGTTGATTCCATCTCTTTCACGAGCTTAAGAAGTTGGATTAAATCCAGGTATCGTTTTTTTACTTGCACGCTGATATTTTAGGGTTAGCAAGCACAAGTGTGGTTGGTCCAAATCATGAAAATTTACAGCTCACTTCCAGTTCCTTATTGGCTCCTCCACCTGACCCACCCAGTCACTTGAGAGATACGAGGTAGCTTTAATTTTCTTAATTTTTATTTTTAGCTCTGCAGTTCCAAATTATGTGTTTGACATATAGATGTGATAGTCACAAGTCAACACCAAGTGGTATCTCTAAGAAAAGGCTTAATGGCGACGATGAAATTCGTGGCACATCACGTTCGAGCCGAATGACATATAATCGGTAATTTCTGAAATAAGGCTCTAGGCAGTAATTTTTTGACGAATTTTTTTTTCTTGAAGCTACTTGTTGTACACAAATGTGTCTTTTTTTGACTTGAAGCAAAAAGAATGTAATAATTCAGATATTTTAACAACATGTTTCAACTTCAGCCAGCGAAGGCATCGCAGGCGACGAAGCGATGACCACATAACGTCATCCTCGTCCTCATCTTCCACTACGTCTTCCTCGAGTGCAACAGACACAAGCGACAGTCGCTCATCATCGCCTGAAAGAAGGAGAGATAGTTCAGTAGATGAACGCATAAAGTACTCAAGAGCAAACCTTCATTTGTCGCATAAAGCTAGAGAGCAGGTATTATGAAGTAGTTACCTGTAGCTTATTGAAGTCTAACTGCCACATTTTTATTCCCTCTTAATCATAAAGAAAGCGTCACTTTCAAGGTATCTTGTTCGAGTACTCATCATAATCACGCATCTCCAAGTGTCCGTGAGGATCGTAGTCCGCTTCCTAGTGGGACTTCAGTGCAGCAACTCACGCAGCTCCTACCACCACCAATGCCGTCAGCAGCAATTCTTAATCCGCATACACCAGAACCTCCAAAAGTGGAAACCAAAGATATGAGATCAAAACGGATTACTTCGCGCACACTGTCATCAAATTACGGCTTTCATCCCTCTTCTGAAAGTCTTAGTGAAAAACTGAACAGCAGAAAGAGTGCAGAGTCTGTTTTATATATTTTCTTTTTCTTTTTTCGTATTCAGTTTTAGACCAGAGCTTATTACCTGTTAATTTGTTTTTTTTTTTTTATTTTTCTGATTCTTTATCTATTACAGTGATGCTGTGAAATCTGGGAGTAGAAGCGCAACTGGTAATGCTCTGTGCGATTCATCATCACATGATACCACCACAGTTCCTGAAACTCTTTCTGTACGTTCTTTCAGTGATAATTTTTAAAGTCGTACTGGATGCAATAATCCAGTAGCTAAAAGCTATATTTAAAGTTAATTTTTAGAACAGTCGATTGGAAGAAATAGCGAACTCTGTGTTACAACACCATTACTACAGTACAGGCTCTCCGGGATCCAACCAGGCCTCATTGTTGTTACACAGCAATTCGTTGAGCGTTAACCACCCATCAGGACGCTCTTCACATTCGGCATCAGGTTCCTCGGTACATCACAGAAGTATAGATGACAGAAGACACCAGTCTGCATCATCATTACGTTCCACAGTAAACAAAAAGAGTCGCTGGCCTTGGGGGAATGATCCCATAAAAACTACTTGTCATATACCACTTGAGACAGCCTCTACAAAACGTGGCGACCCACGGAAGAATCATGCTGTGAGATCATCAGCTTCATCGGTGAATTTACCGGTCCCTGATTTTGCTCAGAGTTTTGCGCTCACAAGACGTTCTAACTCATCTGCAGAATCTTCTCGTGCTCAGCACTTGAAAGTGGAAAGTCGAAGAGTTTCCAAGAGCAGCTCAAGTGTTCCATTGCCACCGTCATCTGAACTAACCAATGGTGATCATATTAAATAGTTTTGCTAAACACTTCGTATTGCGCTAGTGTTTTTGTGGGTCCTCAGCCTCTCTGTTTACTTTTTTTAAAAACATATTTTAATGTTTCTGAGTTGTTCCTGACTTTATTTCTTCACTGGAAGCAGTGAGTTCAAATGTGACTAGAAAAAAACTTCTATTTACTGGCGTCTGTTTCCGTTTTTACACTTACACTTCGTTCACGCTCTAGATTCGTGCTTATAGTACGCATATTTCAGGTTCTTTACCTGGGTCGTCTTTATTTACACCTCCGCACGGTCCTAGTGGAACTAAGGCGCATCTCTCGGTTTCGCGTTCTGCGTCAAGCGGTAGTGATGCTGTTTTATCTCCAGATGGTGCGTCAAGTTCTGCCGTCATTCCTGCTAACCAAACGTCTGTTTTTGATGTAGTTGAAGACTCATCACCAACACTTGATAACAATGCTTTGCGAGAACGAATTTTCGCACTTGGAGCAAAGTTCCAACATATTGATGAAACCATTCAGGTACATCTTTATTACTTGTCTTTGACACGTATTATGAAATATTCTCACTTATGATAAAACGTTATAATCTTCATTTTTTTCAACTTTAGAAAACGCGGTCTTCACACTTTGACCTGGAAAGGAGACCACCGTCATTATTATTTTCACAACGTCCGCAGAAATTTGAGGATGAATTGGAAAGGTTGAAGGCCAAAAGTTCACTTCATTCTGCGACAAGCACTGCAGTGAGTCAGCATTCCACTGCGCCTACGACATCTTCAACTATTAATGCATTTCCGGATGGATTTCCAAAATCTAAGGCCGTTATCAGCACCTCGAGTCAGCATTCACAAATTGAGAGAGTGGAAGAAACCTCAAAAATTTCACGTTCAGCTTTATCGATAGCTGTCTCTCCTGCAGCTAGTTCTAACGTTTCAGCTAATATTCAGCCTGCAAGTAGCATTTCAGAAGAAAACGCTGCAAGTGCTATGTCACCATCTTTACTACCGGGACACTTAAAAAGACCACCGGCACCACCGACTGCAGCAGCTCTAAAGCAGTCCTCTTTTAGTGCTGTTTCAGGTCCACAGCATGTAGTTGCTTTTCCTCCAAATTTCAGCGTTCCTCCACCACCGTTGCCGTACCCACCAGCACCTCCAGCACTGGCGTCGCCGAAAGCACCTTCTTTGCCGTTGATAAGTGCTCCTCCTCCTCCTCCTCCTTTGGTATGTACTTTGGACATGTTTCAGTTTTTTTACTTCCACTGACTACAATCAACGGCATTATACAAGTTATAGATTTCTGGGCCTGTTAGTCAGCCTGAAGCGAGTGCTTCTACAACATCTACACCTACCGTAACGCCGAAGTCGTCGCGAGTTATGCATCCTCCAGCACCAGGAAGTTCACCGGCTACTATTAGTCATTCAAGAAAGGATTCTCAACATACGAAAACTCCGGCACCACATTCTGCATTACTATCTTTGTCGGAAGACTCAATATTCAAGGCGTTGGCATCAATGAAGAGTCAAACGAGTGTTTCAAAGAATACATCGAAAACTGCAGAAAAGGTAACTTGTTGTCATGCTAAAACTTTTTGCTTATAAATGTTCGTGAATTTTTTTAGAAATAATTTTTTTAGGAGACAGCAGTGCGTTCGACGACTTCTCTACTTCCTGCAAAATCGATCGCTCGCAGTATTCGCCCAAAAGTTCATAAAGATTCTGGAGTTAAGTCGTTAGAAGACCTTTTTCGCCAGCAGGTGAGTTATTTGTTAAGTCATTTCTTTGTAGCTTTGTACTTTTCAGTTATTTACTAGTAGTTTGGGTTTTTCAGGCACAGGATTCATCAGAATCTCGAAAGAAGCAGTTACTGAAAATCAAAAGTGAGGAAAAGGCGTCTCGTTCAGAAAAAGAAACAGATTTTTTGAGAAAATCTTCAGATATTGATCACGAAAAGCGGATTACAAAAGAACAAGAGAAAAAACCTATTGTAGGTGTTGTCACTAGTAAATATAGGTATTTTTTGAATTTGTTTCTGTATCTTTCATTGGGGTTTTTTTAGGAGCGAACTTCTTTAGAGAATGTGGAACGGAAAGAGAAGGAAAAGAAAAAGTCATCTGTTAGTATGGACGCAAAGTCAAGATTTGATAGCAACAAAGGGAGGGAGAAAGTTGAACATGAGGTTT